TTCATGTTTTGTTATTTAGTTACTGTTTTCGTTTGAATTTTCATCTGGTTGTGTAAACCAGTGAATATATGTATGTATGTATGTTACAAGTGTTTAATGCATAGAAAGTGAATGATTGGGGTTTCAAATACTTGATTTGATAAGAGGGTTGATGATTAGTGAATCCTAGAAGAAGGTTGAAAAGCTAATGATGAAGTACAAGAAATTGATGCAAGTGATAATTACACACACTGAAATTTGGGGAAGGTACAACACATCAATGCAAGTCTTCATGTCCAACAAAATGATGGTACAAACAACTCCACCTTTTTATGCATGTGTCTGGTTTCTAATTAATTTTTTTATGTTTTAAATTTAGTTTTTATATTTTTATGTGTCTTAAATAAATAAATATTTTTAAAAATAGATAATTAGGAGGTAGTTGATTAAAGGTATTAAATAGTAATTAATATGAAAGAAAATAAAATAAATTGTTTGTTTTTTATATATTAAAGGGGTGTTTGTGCAATGCAACGAGATATATCTTCATCTTAATGTTTCGTTTTATTTTTTTGTCTTTGTTGATATAATACGGTTTATATGGTTTTGAGAAAAATAATTTTTTTATTTTTAAATAAAAATAAATTTGAAGACATCATAAAATTTAGAAAAATATATCGATATTAATATCAAATTAATTATTTAAATGTTCTCGTTTTCTTTTTTTGTACAATTTCTTTAAGTTAATTTTTTATTATAATTTAATTTAGGTCAAATAGTGAAGTAATTTACTTTTGGCTTGACAATAAATTTTTTATAAAGATAATGATTCTGTTACAACTCAATAATTATCCTAACTATATTTTAGATTTTTTTTATATTTAAAATGAGATATTTATTATATATTTGATTATGTTTATCTACGGTTAGTTATACGAATTAAAAAATGAAGCTTTAATAAGTTGTACTTATGCATAATTTATTTGTAATCTTAAATTTTAAGTAATATGCACTAACAAACAATATTTTAAGCGTAAATGATGGTTTTAAGAGTTTTTGTCAAATACTTTATAATATAGTATATATAATGAGTTCGTTTTTTTGGAAGCCCAAAATTTCATTAAATTGGGGGGAATGTAAATTCATTCTCATTTTCATTCCTCATAATGAGTCAAACAGGCCCTTAGTTTTTAAATCTACGTTAACTACCGTAAAAATATTTAAGAGTTGTGAAAAATATGATTTTATTAAGGGTATAGTTGTCATTTGATAAACAAACAAGAGTGTGCAATTTCTATTGTGAACATTCAGATATATTTCTTGACAAACTAGCTGATAAGCTAAGTAATGACTAAAAAACTAGTTAATCAACTAATAACGCTTAACAAAACTCAGTTGTAAAATGATCAAAAAGGACAAGTCAACAGTCGATCAATTTTAACATTTCATAATATATTTAAAACATATCACTGATAATATAATATATTAACTAATACAAACCACTTGGTAAAAATAAAAATTAAATTTGAAATTAATAATAATAATAAATAATTTATATTTATTATTTACTAATGATTAATATTAATCAGGGGTATAATCAAAAGAAAGTGACAGAACGCTCTAGGAGCTTGCAGTAGCGTTTCCACGACTAGCTGATACCGTTTAAAGAGAACTTTTACAATAAGCTCAACAAATAAGCTACTTGATGTTTATCATGTCTTTATTTTAAGGCAGAAGAGGTAATAATAAAGTAATTAGAGTGACGGTAAATTGTGGTTAATAACATAAAAACATTTATCAGTAGAAGGATTCATTTAGAATAACTGCTTATAAGAAGCACGAGTCCACGTGATACGAGTTTATTTTCATGTACATTTAAATTGATTAAACACGTATTTACAAAAAAATTGTTCTGATTTTAAATAACAGTAACAAGAAAATACCTGAATTAGGGTTTTTTTTTTCTCTATAGGAAAGATCAACATCGTTCGAGTTTATTCATGGTACACTCTAATAAAACCAACAACTTCAAACTATTGTCTCTGACGTGTAGGTCAATTGATAGATGGATGAGATGATTTTGCCCAAATACAAGACATATCTTGAGTCTGATCTCAGACTGCCCACTAGCATCAACTGCTGAATGAGCCAAAAATGCACTCTTAAATCGTTTTATCGATGAATAAATAAATTATTTATTTGATATTATAATTTTTTATTTAATAAATTAATTATCTTATGTTGACCCGCACTCAAAATACTCGGTTTGACCCCAACTTAGCTCAATCTATAACCAACTGACTTTTTCTTTTTCTTTTTCACCTCTAATTTAAACCATACACCGTTTTCATTAGAAATCAATGCAAACCACCAAAAAGAAGGCATCAATCGTCATGATAATCGAACTCGCATACTGCACTCCGTAATAAGAATGCACAAGCTGTTTTGTCATACTGACCACATCGTATAAGGTGAATATGCATGGTAAGTGTTTACTGCTTTATAATAATTTACGATGTCAATCTTTTATACGGGTGTTATACATAAAAAAAAAACTTCAGTATATATTTCGGTTTCAATACGATGGCGTCCGTAATTATGAAAAGGTGTGTCAGGATAAGGCATGCCCATAATGCAAGAAATGATATATGTAAGATGAGCTCATCGATATCATTTTGTGGGATATGTGGTGGCCTACACCATACTGTATCAAAACTGAGATCTCGTAAATAACGATGGTTCTCAATTTGTGCAAATATGGCAAAGTTTATATTCACAACACGATAAAATAAATGACAAATTGCATGAAAAAGTAACGTACTTTAACTTGATTTTTATTTTGGGTAACGTACTTCAAAAACTTTCATTGGTACCCAAGATGTATAGTTTTAAACATTTAAACACTCAAATAACAAGTTGAAGCATTAACCGGTTATCATGCTTATGTGGCGAGTGATATGATATCAAACTCGGTATTATTTGTTGAAATGGTTAGGGACATGAGTTTTTTTGATTTAAAATTAGTATTCAATTGGTTACCCGAGTACTTAAATATTTAAAACTTTACATCTTAGGTACCAAAATGGAAGTTTTGAAGGTACGTTACCAAAAATAGGAATCAAGTTAAATTACGTTATTTTGCATGCAATTTGCCCTAAAATAAAACGTTTTCAGATAATAAGTTGCGTTAAACGTCTAGCTTTACAACCCATGTGTAAAATAAGTTTGCATCTTGGATATCGTGTTTTATGAAATGTTTCGCATTAAAATAGATACGTCATGAACTTAAACATTGACTAGTGACATATTGACATGTAACTACAGATAAAGCAAAACAGAAAAAAAAAAAAAAACGTCTAGTCAGATACTGAATAATGATACTTGCTTATGTTTTTAGTTATCTGTTTGTTTATGTTTAAGTCAAGTTTTTTGATATTCAATCCATATGTTGCAATACGGTTATGATATTGATGTTGTCTGGTTGAAATACGAGAGCTCTTAAGATGCTACAGTTTTTTTGAGCAAGTACACGTAACTCGATTTTAACATGGTCTAGTACAGCTTCCGTCAAATTTTAGTTCAAGTACAATCATAAAGCTTAAAACATAATGATGAATGATGTTTGCATTTATAAGAGCATATTTAACAGCTACGTTATTTTATAAATTTTGAAAATTTGAGAAAAAGTTTGCTCTAATAGCTACGTTAAACTGTTATTTAAACCTAAATAAAAAGATAGAGAGAGAAACTTAGTTGGGCTTGGGCCTATAGCCCAATTAAATAATTAAAAAAAATGATATAGAGTAGAATTTTAGCTGTGGGACGCGGGAATTCCTTACTTTGGTGGGTAATGGGCCGAAAACGGGGCTTGATTTTCATATCTGAAATGGGTCGAGTCAGTATTCGGGACGAAATTACCTGTTCTTAATCCGGCGCTGGTTAAACTTTTACTTTTTAAAACTAAAGTGTACATATGCATTTATTATACAACAAATATATTTGATTTTTAATATTGATAATTAATTTAGATGATTCATTCTAAGTTTTATATTGAAATATGATATATTATTATTGTTTTTATTAAACGAGTACCCAACAGGTTCCTCAAACATGTATGAGATTTCTTCCCCTGAAACCATAAAGATGTGTTTTGTACACTGAACATGACTTAATAGAATAGAACATGCATTACTATTCCACGTTTAACAAGATTTTTATGTAGAACAGATGAGAAAAAAAGTGGAACATGGGTGTTCCATCCCCACCCATGAAAGAAGTTAAAACAAGATGAAACAGACTTATATTTTACCAATATAATCTAAAAATAAAATATAATTCTCATATAAAACATCAAATACATATTTCTCTTTACATTTTTTGTATTTTATGTTTTTTAAATTTTCACTTTACTGTCCACAAAACATTATTTTTACACGGTTTCTATATTTGAATTGATTAATGTAATTTATTAAATAATAATAATAATAATATAAAAAAGGTGTAGAATAAGAATTGGAAAGTACATAAATTTTTTAATTTTGTGTCATTTTGACAAAAAAAACTTTTTAATGAAATATTTTGTTATAAAAATATGAATTTTATTATAACTACAAAAATTAATTAAAAATATAAACAACTCATTAATAAGAGTAAATTGATCATTTTATCTGTTTTGTTATGTCCAACTTTGTCTTATCAAACACTGAACACTTGTTTTATGTTATGTTATATCCTATCTGGATACCAAACGCATTGTCAAATATTAGTCCCAGTTGGGATCGGGAACGAGAGGGGCTTAAACCATGGTTAGGAACGGAGGGAGGATTCATTACCCGCCCTGTAAAAAATCCCATCCCTCTTAATTTTGGGCCAATTTTTGAAGCCCAAATCAGGAATGAATTCAAATTTCAAATTTGGTAACGGTCCAAAAGCCAGCCGTGTTGAATTTCAAATTTCAAAAACCAGTTTTGGAGCCTTTTCTGTTTGAAACCAGTTTCATCTATAAATACCAACCCACCCTTCAACTTTACCATTCTTTTCCTAATTTCTACCCCCTAATTTTAGCATATTCAGATCTTAGCGAAAATGAGAGAGTGCATTTCAATCCATATCGGTCAAGCTGGAATCCAAGTCGGAAACTCTTGTTGGGAGCTCTATTGTCTGGAACATGGCCTTCAGGTACGTTTTTTGTTCTTCAGTTTTCAGATCTGGCCTTGGAATTGTTGGTTTTTTGGTTTGTAACTTGTTTATGGTACGTTTTTTGTTGTTTAGTTTTGAGATCTGGTGTTGAAATTGTTTGAATTTTAACTTGTTGATTGTACTAATTCTGTTGTTGAGTTTTGAGATCTGGACTCTGGAGTTGAAATTTCTCGAATTCTTATCGTTATTTTAGTGTTGAGTTTTCAGATCTGGATTTTGTTTGAATTCTTTTGGGTTTTTTGGTTTGTAAGTTGATGAAGTCTGTAATTTGCAGCCGGATGGGCAAATGCCGAGCGATAAAACTGTTGGAGGTGGAGACGATGCCTTCAACACGTTTTTCAGCGAGACCGGTGCCGGAAAACACGTTCCCCGGGCGGTTTTTGTAGATCTGGAACCAACTGTGATCGATGAGGTCCGAACTGGAACTTACCGACAACTTTTCCACCCGGAGCAACTCATCAGTGGCAAAGAAGACGCTGCTAATAACTTCGCCAGAGGTCACTACACAAGTAAGCAACATCGATTCAAGTAGTTTTTATTACTTTTTGAAGTTTTTTTATTCGAGTAAATGGATCTGATTCTTCGAGGCATTTCGTCGAACAGTTGGTAAGGAGATTGTGGACTTGTGTCTTGACCGGATCAGGAAGCTTGCCGACAACTGCACTGGGCTACAAGGGTTCCTGGTTTTCCATGCTGTGGGTGGTGGTACTGGATCTGGGCTTGGATCTCTTCTTCTCGAGAGATTATCTGTCGATTACGGGAAGAAATCAAAGCTCGGGTTCACTGTTTACCCTTCTCCTCAGGTCTCAACTTCTGTCGTTGAGCCTTACAACTCTGTCCTCTCCACCCACTCTCTTCTAGAACACACTGATGTTTCAGTTCTACTCGATAACGAAGCTATTTACGATATCTGCCGTAAATCCCTTGATATTGAGAGGCCCACCTACACCAATCTCAACAGGCTTGTCTCTCAGGTATTTAAATAAAATGCTTCTGAGAAACTAAAATGGTCGTTCCAAGTTCAAACCCTTAATTTCTGTTTCCAATTTGCAGGTTATTTCATCGTTAACAGCTTCTCTTCGTTTCGATGGTGCCCTGAATGTCGATGTGACTGAATTCCAAACCAATTTGGTGCCCTACCCGCGTATCCATTTCATGCTTTCGTCATATGCACCAGTGATTTCTGCCGAGAAAGCCTACCATGAACAACTCTCGGTAGCTGAAATCACCAACAGCGCTTTTGAACCTGCATCCATGATGGCGAAATGCGATCCCCGCCATGGAAAGTACATGGCCTGCTGTTTGATGTACAGAGGTGATGTGGTTCCAAAAGATGTGAATGCTGCAGTGGGAATCATCAAGACCAAGCGAACCATCCAATTTGTTGATTGGTGCCCGACTGGATTCAAATGTGGAATCAACTACCAGCCTCCCACAGTGGTTCCTGGTGGCGATTTAGCCAAGGTTCAACGGGCTGTTTGTATGATCTCAAATTCGACAAGTGTTGCTGAAGTGTTCTCGAGGATCGATCATAAGTTTGATTTAATGTATGCGAAAAGGGCGTTTGTGCATTGGTATGTGGGTGAAGGAATGGAGGAAGGGGAGTTTTCAGAAGCCCGAGAGGATCTTGCGGCTCTTGAGAAAGATTACGAGGAGGTTGGGCTCGAGTCAGCTGATGGGGAGGACGATGATGGTGACGAGTATTAGTTTGTTCGATTTGGTCCGAGTATTAGTGTTTAAACCAAAAGGGCTCATTGGTTTTGATTTGGAAACATTTGTGTTGTTCTCTTTTGTTTTGTGGTCCAAGATTTGAATATGAAGTAATGTTACTTTTTCCTACGAGTTGCTTTGTTTCATAAATATGAGCAATTTCTGTAAACAAAACGTTGGATTAGATTGATTTTGAATTACAAATTCCCTCAAATCCTTTTCATTGTTACAAACCCAAAAAGGACCTAATCATTAAAGTTAAATTGATAAGAACATCATCAATATTTGTCTAAACATACATAACATAAGAGAATAAGAATAGATCTTCATATTTAGATCAATTATAATAGAATATCACCATTAATTCTCATAATAATCGTAATTCATAGGGTTGAGGTGATATTAAAAAATGATCAAAAGGTCCTGTTTTCCTTTTACATTTTTCAACTTAACTTTTATTCTCACACGATCATTCGTTTTATATAACATTAAATTGATGAAATCAATCTTGGATTTTTGTTTTTGACATCTTGAAGTTTCATGTGTTTAGTTGATTACGTTCAAATACAAAGTACTTAATTAGATTAGTTGTAGTCTTGGAATAGTTAATGAGCTGGAAGATTAGTACACGTGGTGAATTTAAGGTATCTTTGGCTCTTGCTAAGAAATGAAAATAAAAATGACAGAATGAAAATAAAAATGACAGTGAATGAAAATAAGAATGAATTTTTATTCGTTCAAATTTAATTAGGACTGAAATTTTGAGTTTCTGTGAGAATGAACTCATTATATTATAGAAAGCCAAACAGTTTCTGTTAGTTTCATTCAACATTGATTACTGCTTAATACATCTAACCAAACACCCTCTTAATATATTTTAACGGAGTACGTAGTGGACTTGTAACAATAAAAAAAATTAGTAGGCAATAGTTGTATTAAGGTTTGTCAAAATTAAAAAAACAATAGGACTTTTGCTTAGATTATTACTCATTCAGTTTCGGTTGTATGGGTTGACACTTAACAGTTTGATCGATTTTTAATGTATACTGTGAGTTTATGATGAAACTTCCCATTTGATATAATGCGTGATATTTTGAATGATGTTATCCGGTATTATTTCAACTTTGAGAGTTTTAATTGTCTTTATGTCTAGGAACAGATGGCCATTACGTAGCTTATAGGGTTAAATGAAATTTTCACACATCAACATTAAAATTTACTTTTTAACATTCTCAATATATGATTTAATCTAATTCTAACTTAAAAAGAATGTATATAACATCACCTTCAATATTATATATGTATATATATAATACAGTAGCAAAACTCTTAGATGGTATTTATTGAAACAATGTTTTAAAGATGTTTCAAGTCGGATTGATCTAAGATGTTAGAAGTACAGAAAAAATTAGGGATGGATATTAAAGGTATTGGTTCTTTAGTTTTCATTTTAACTAGTGTTTCTTTGACTTTAAGATTCTTTAATTTCTTATGTCTCGTTAAATTATTTACGGAAGGGTCATGTAAGAAGAGGAGTTAAGGTGTGAAGTGTAAAAAAGATATGAACTCTTGACCACTTTTAACCTCATATCCACCCATTAATTGCGTTTTAGATGAGAATTGATCTGGTGCGATGCACCTCATTAATTTTGACATTCAATTAGAATTAGTCCAAATATATATAGATTTGTTCTTATATTTTTCACCATAACTTTTATTCTCAGTGGAACCCGACCCATCATTATATTATCCAAAGTTTATCATTTCTTTCTTTCATCTTCTCCATATTTCTTTCCTTTTTCCCCCCCTTTTTTTTCTTTAAAAAAAACATGTATTTTTTCCACCTTGTTTCCCTCCATTTCCTTCCATAATACTTTTAAACATTCCCTCCTAAAGAAATGTGAGTTTTATATGAAAATAGGTTTTAAGCATTTGTTTAAACGAATGTTAAACCGGGTATATTAGCTCTTTTTGGGTCAATTTTCTTCTAATCTCTATATAATTAAATGGTATAAGAAACTAAGAGGCCGTTTACCCAACGCTTACCCGGTAAACATCTGCCTGTAATAGTCAACACTTTTACTTAACTTACTAGGTAAGATTTTAGTTTATTAATACGGCATCGTGTGTAATAATTTATCTGGCTAACCCTTGCTTGCTAAGACTCTCGATCCTTGTTATCACTCTTACCCTATTCTCGATCCTTGTCTTGTTTGTCTAATAAAGTATTTAGAACACTTACCGGTTTAGTATTTAGTAAACGTCCCCTAAATACAAGATCATAATGCATTCCCCCCCAAAGTGTTGATTATCAGAGAAGCATATTTCAACTTCGACCTCTTGAAGTTGTTCGATTCGTTTAACAATTATATTTACTTTAGATCTTATACTTACCTGGATCGGATCAAAGTTCCATGACCATGTGATTTCCTGCATCTATTGAAAATTTGAAAATATTTAGTGTCAGCAATTCACTGGCCATTAAAATTCTAAAACCAATCAGCAAGTAGACATGGAGATGTGAAACGAAAGAAACTGGTATATGAAATCAAAGAGAGAGGGCTCTTTCTATTTAATTTCTTACGAGTTCTGACTGTACATGAAAACCTTGCGGCTCTGCCCTCTTTACATACTTTATTTTCCCCAATTACAGTAGTAATTCTAACTCTCTACTTCAAAGTGACTCTCCCTGCTCTGCATCTCTTCACCTGGAATAATCGGGGGAAAACACATTGTAAACAAAAAGTAATGGAGGAATTTGAAATTAAACATGAATCTGACGAGATCTTGGTACCAGAGATTGTGATCACAGCCAATTGTATAGATTTTGTTGATCAACCAAAAGTATTATGGATTCAAGTGGAAGTTATTTCAATTATTTCTGACAAACTACATGGATCGAAAGCAAACTTGTTGAATGAATTTAAGAACATATTTTGCAATTCCATATGCAAAATGAGAAAAGAAGTGGCTAAACTTCGATAAAAGGAACAGAAAGGAGAATAGCAAAATCGTTGATTGAATTTAAGAACATATTTCGTGATTCCATATGCAAAATGAGAAAAGAAGTGGCTAAACTTCGATAAGTGGAACAGAAAGGAGAATTTCCGATATGCATATTATATACGGAATTAATAACACATACTGAGACAGACCTTAAATTACATGACCTCAATTACAGTTCTAGATGCATATTATATATATACGGTGATGAGACAAAAGAAAAGACGAACATGTTGCGAATTCAGTGTTCGGTTTTGATCGACGGCGTCACCTCCTTGCCGCTGAGAGGCGAAGGCCGCCTGGAGAATATCATAACATCCACACGACCATTACCGGCGCCACCAAACTTCCCTATACAAAATTCACCAATATCTTCTCCGATCTGCGAATCCTCAGCTCTAATCCTCGTAACCTGGTCACAAAAACGAACGCCGGAAAGATTAACCTCTTTCACCGTTACCGGCCACTTCTTTGCGACAACCGACTTCGGAGAGTAATACTCCATATCCTCAGACGAAGATGCATTACTCTCCAGATCCGTCTCAATCTCTTTCAAAACCTTCCACGACGTCATCGTTTTCCGATCTCGTAAATCTCCAGCAACCGCAGCGTTCACTGAAACGGCATCGTTAGCAGAACTTTTCACGGCAGTCATGGCGACGGAATATAACAATCCTGTAGTTTGTCCGGTGATGTGTGTGTGAAGAGTGAAGATGGTGGTGGTACGGTGGAATCTGAGGCGTGGGTATTGGGGGAGATTTGAATATAAAGGAGGTGAGCTAGAAGAGATGACACGTGTGCCGGGGGATATGTGGATGAGGTGGCGTTTTGATTGGGTAAAACGACATGTGGGTGATTTTTAAAATGGGTGACGGGGACTGGTCAAGAGAATGCCGTTTGAGTAGGCTTTCTACTTGGAATTATTTATGCCACGTATCACTTAAAACATTCATGGTCGGTTGATATTCATTCTACTTGTATTTATAAACGGGTCCGAATACAAATGGTTCGATCCGAATAAGTCGGGTCCAAGACTTGATTATTGTCGATAAGACCATAAAGTACCCACAATTGAGATATCGGTTATAAACTGTATGATTGATTATTTGATTTACTTGTATGTTCACATGTTTTAGCGCTTGGTGTTTAAGAACTACCCATAAATACGTACTTAGGGGTCGTTTACCTGAACACCTACCCGGTATACGTTTATCGATAAAATTCAACAATATTGATCACTTACCGGGTAAGATTTCATTCATCAAAACGCATCGTATCCAACAATTTGTCCCGATAAGCGTTAATTATAGTAAGAGTCGTCGTTCTCATTTATCGGGTAAGACTCTTGAAAATTCTTGTCTTCCCTCTTAGTAAATAAGATTCTTAGTTCTTGACATATTCGTCCGATTTGATAAACGCTTATCCGGTGCCTTAATTTAACTTTTTAGAATGAATATTGCACGTGGCTTGTATTATTGGACCAAGTCACATCACATTATTAACTCCCACAAATATCTTTTAAATAACAAAAGAAAATATCTTTATTAAAAGTAAATTACTTTTAATTCAAGAAAATTCACTAAATTAGCCACATTTTAAAGCAAATTTCTTGTCCCATTTTAAACAATAAACAAATTACATGAACTCTAACTGGATTCCTATTTTGAATAACATACTTTCAAAACTTCCATTTATTTTATATAAAGTTTGAATTCAAGATATTTTAAAGGGAATTTAGAGACGGCGTTAACTATCTCTTGATGTACATTTAAACGTTAAAAATAACAAATAATAAACAACCCGTAAAGCATTAAGATCAAGACATACAAACTTCTCTTTCAAAGCCCCTTTTGATGGATATATACATGAATTAGTAGGGATCCACTAAATGATATTTTGAGCTAAAAGTTGATTAACGACACAACTCAAACGATTTCACATGGAACCCACCCCTCAGAAACCACATGTGATGAGGTTTTTCAAAGTTGGCTTAATCATTGGGGTTCGCAGAGAAGTTCAAGCCCGTCTCTAGTTCAAAATGGGCTGCATGGGCTTAACCACATTTGAACCCGATACCTTGTTGTAAAAACAGCACCCCGGTCCACTAGGACAATTCAACATGGACAATTAATTATGAGGGGTCCAATAGTACCTACGACTTACGATTGAAAAATTATCTGCTATAGAGTTGATAGCCGCGACAAATATCGAAGATATAATCTTTTAAAACGGAAATCATAGGAGTCTTCCAAGGCCACTGGGAATTTTCTTAGTTGTTCTCTAGGATCCCTGGGATTAGTCAAGATGCGTGTGAGCTAACACACCCACCCATAGCTAACCAAAAAACCCATGAATTGATGGCACGGGCAGACCATAAGCTCGAACATAGGTTCCCTACTTCCCATCATAGTATGATTGAAATAAAACCAAAAAAAAAAACTAAATAAAATTGAAAGAAATTGACCAAGAAAAATGAACATCAATTTGTATTCAAAGAGATCTGAACAGAAAACATGCAATAACCAGTGCTCTAAAAGGCACGCCATGGCGTCCATAACGTAAGATGCATCTTCGCCGTTACAATAAGGTCTATAGCATTAATTTGACCACACTCGTAGAGATTTAAAACAAGATGGAAAGAAAGTCTCATTCGCAACCAAAAAAGTTGTATAAATTGACACTTAGAGTTCCACAACAACAAATACTATAAGAAAACTAAATCATGAAGACTTGGTGTTTACTGTTAAGTAACAAAACAACATTGATTGAAAAGTAAAAGGTACAAATGTGGAGACTTACGGGTATCGATAAGATTCCCTCAATCTTCATCCTCTTCGTCTCCATCTCCACCAGATGCCTTTTTAGCAGCGGCTTTTTGGTTCTTTCGTTTCACTCTTCCAGGACGGCCACCTCCGAATGGACTAGTAAGAGAGAAGTCGATGTGTTTCTGAGAGTCCACCCTCACCATGAACGATGCAACATTAACCACTTGCCTCCCAACCCTAGTGCAAGAATGAATAATAGTTATCACTTATCAGACAACATTGTTAGGCGCATTAGCTTGGAGAGTAATCTAATGGGGTTCCATATATTCTAACATGGTATCAGAGTCAAGATTTACAACTCTAGGTCTGTTTATCCCCCTCGAGTAATATGACGGGTTACACATATTCTCACAAATTAAAACCCACTTCGAGTTTGTTGTAAATACATAATTAACAACGATATGCAGGATGTGCATGTTGAAAAAAGCTTAAACAGTGATGCGATACACATGTGTAACAAATTCAATCATAAAATGTGAATGAACATGGTTAAGAATAAAGGTTATAAAACATAAGCTTCTTATATAACATCAATTCCTGAAAGGCGTAATATCATCTTCAACCTACACCTCTAAAAAAACACTAAAATGTGGGCCCATCCATACTAAAACATAAAACACAAAACCCTTCCAACCCAGGGGCGGACCCACATGGAATGATACGGTGGCACGGGCCACCGCTTCATTGTCAGTAATAAGGGGGAAAAACTACGTTCTAAAGGGTGGCCGTATTGTTTTGTTGGGTGCCACCATATAGTTTTGGAAACTGAAATGTTAGCAAGACTTTAATGGTTAGATTGTAAATGCTCCTGTCCTTGTACAAAAGGCCCAGGCTCGAGTCCCATGGTTGTTAAATTTGTAGCTTTTTGCTTAAATTTTGGTGTTTTTTATATTTAAAAATAAATGTATATCGGAATAGAACATGGGTTTCTTCTATGTAAGAACAAGGAACCAACCAACAGAACTATACTAATGTTGTGAAAAAAATTAGATATTTTCTCATAGTCAAATTGTGCAAGCACATGTAAAATAATCTGGGTCTGCCTCTGTTCCAACCACACACTAAAAGTCATTGCCCACATTTTTAGAGGCCATGAATAGTAGACCTCTAAACATAGAGGTTTCCTTCAATTTACACAATAAAATTTAGTGTTTTAGTGGTGGGTTGGAACAAAGATGACCTCGATTTTAGCGTTTTAGTGGTATATTAGAGATATTCTAAGAATGATCTACATCAGTAGTTATATACCTGATATGCCTCTGCCTAATCAGCACACGAGCATGATGAATTGACTTTGCCATGCCAGTTTTGAATACAAGTGTTTGAAGACGGCGTTCAAGAAAGTTCTCAACAGTCAAAGCCAAGACATAATCGAGCTTGTTTTGGCTCTCATCCAAAAGCCCATACCTATTCATCCTACGTAGAAGGGCTTCACCTTCAAAAATTCGGCGTGGGTCTTTCTCGTCAAGAGTGAGAAGCATACGTGCAGCATTACGAATGCGACTCAATGCGTATTGAACCCTCCATAGTTCTCTTTTACAACGGAGCCCATACTCTCCTACGAGCTTCAATTCGGCATCCAAACGCTCCTTCTCATATGGACGACGAGGCTTCTTGAAAGTTTTTCCATCTATTGTTGATTTATAACATTCGTTAGTACACAACAAACACAAGCCCTTCATCACAGAGAATTCATGTTCTTACATAGTTCTTTTGTAATAACAGATATGAACCTAGAGTTGTACAACTGATGACATTGCAACTGTTTTGCAACTTTCCAACTCTAATTACTCTAGAACATAAATATGAACTTTTTCTTGCTTTGGGTTGATGATATGAGTTAACAGAGACTTAAAATAATCGACAAGAGTCGGCTTCTTTTCTCTCAGTAAAGAGATGCTTTTCTAGACACTATTTATTCTAGACAAAAGTTATGATCTTACACATCATTGCTGGTGACTTTTGGTCTATAATTTTAACTCTACACAATCATTTTTAGATTCTTTTAACCTGTATCATCGTACCCGAAGGCAAAAAAAACCTACAATCCTGGTCAGAGTTGGAATCAACTTTGCAATTTCCTTCTTCTCACAAAGCTATTATTAGATTGGTAGAACTTGCATAACCACACAACATCATCAGTTTCACATCCCCAGGGTTTATACATACTTAAATTTGTAAAGCAATAGTCTGAAAGTGGAAAAAGGAAAGATTCATTTCAAAGCTTCTATTCTCTGTTTAGAATTTTTTTTTTCCTCCAAAAAGTTCACCCCATTTTGAGGTTAACTCACCATCTGACAACCATCAAACACATCTACTAACACTTAATTCAATACAAAGAATCGCAATAACCAAGTTTCTGATTCGGTAAACCATACATAATCCATGTAACAATTGCATCAAACCGAGAAACCCAAACATAAATGCAATCACTTCCGATCAACGCATATCAATCGTCAGACTAAATAACCATGGTAACGATCAAATGCAGTTATGAATCAAAGAACACCTACATAACAATCGATCGAAATGCAGAAGTTAGAGAGAGAGAGAGAGAGAAACTAAGCTTACAATTGCGGTAGAAATTGACGTGAACCATGGCTGCCTTTGAGAGAAAAGCAAAATGAAGTCGAAGTAGTAAGAAATACGCCTGATTTAGTTCTTCGACTATATAGGGTAGATAGAAAGCCCTAAATCTAGAAACCCTAATTCCGAGTATTCGGTTTTCTTGTCCAATTTTCTGTAGTTATGTGGTGGACTGTGGGCCAAGTAGAAGATACAATGTGGGTTGGGCTTTATGACAAATATATAGCACCCGAGCGCAATTAATATTTGATTAAGAGTGAATTAAAATGATGATAAACGTTTCTAAACTCGATTAATTATGGATTTGGTCTTTGTGGTATGTATTTTCTTATGACTAGACTCCCTATCACCAACATACTCCATTAACTCAAGATTACAAAGACTAAAATACCCTTGCTTTCCGACTTTTTCTAATAATAAAGGGCAAAATGCACAAAATAGCAATCTACTTTCATGATTTTTTTTATTATAGCATTGTACTTTCAGTTTTTCTTATTACAGCAATGTACTTTCAAACTATTTTTATTATGAATTTGTACTTTGAAAGATTTACCCATTGTAGCATTGGGTAACCTTTTGATTTAAATTGTCCATGTAGACGATTGATGGGTAAAAGTGGGAGGGGAGAAGTGCGGAAAGCTATGGTTGTCGTTGAGTGAGGATGGAAGGGATGATGGTCGCCGGTGAAGGAAGGAGAAAGCGAGTCTGAGATGAGTTGTCTCAAAATTCTCTTTTATCCCGAGTGGGAGGGGAGAAGTTTGGGAAGCCATGGCTGTCGGTGAGAGTGAGGATGCAAGGGTGGTGGTCGCCGATGAAGGAAGGACAAAGAGAGTATGAGTTGTACTTTTTATTTTTTTTAATAGAAAAAGTAAAAAAAACAAGGCTATTTTGGTCTTTTTATTCTTAATATAATTGAGTTAACATACTCCCTTAGTGAAAGGGACTCTAGTCGTAACAAAATGTATACGACCAGGACCAAATCCATAATTAATTGAGTTTAGGGACATTAGTCATAATTTTTGACATACCACATGACCAAATCCATAATTCACTATTTGATTAATGAATCGACTATTCAGTCTCTCCATTTCCACTTATTTTTTGCCATATTTTCAAATCAGTTCCCAAACTAGTCATCGTTTATTCAAATGCGTAATTTCTTTAGGAAAATGCATACTTCTTTTACGCAAATATGTATTTTTTTTAATACAAATATGTACTTTTTTACACAAATAATTTAAGCAATAAAGTACACAAATTCAGGATATTTTAGTCATTTATAATTAATACATTACAGGTCCAATATCTATACTATATTATAAAGCATTTGACAAAAACTCTTAAAAATCACTTTTTATGCATAAAATATTGTTTATTAATGCATATTACTTAAAACTTAAGATTACAAGTAGATTGTGCGTAAATACAACTTATTAAAGCTCCATATCTGAATTCGTGTAACTAACTACAAATAAACATAATCAAATACAGGATAAACATTTCATTTTAAATATAAAAAATCTACAATCCAATTAGGATAATCATTGAGTTGTAATATAATACTTAATTATTATMTTTATAAAATDTTATATTATTAAACHAAAAATAAATTATTTCGTTATTAAACTTAAATTAAATTATAATAAAAAATATAAATTAAAAAAATCACATAAAAAATTGATAACTTATAAATAGTTAATTTGATGTTAATATTGATGTATTTTTTTCAAATTTATATTTTATTAAAAAATATAATCATTATTGCTATCCTAAAAACACATAAAATCGTATTATAACATCGACAAAGACAAATAATAAAATATAACATTAAAATCGAGATGTGTCTCGTTGCATTGCGCAAGTACTCTCTAGTATTCAATAAATAAACCAAACAGAGATGCAATTCATTTGACATATTTCATTCAATTTCCTGTCAAACCCGAGTCTTTTTCATTCCAACTCCTTCAATACATTTCATTTATTCCAAAAAATCATCTTGCGAACCAAACATCCCCTTAATTTTTTGGGAAAACGAAAGATTTACAACCCGGGCTCCAATCTATGAATCTCTTCTAACACTGCCACTAGAACCAACCTTGCTAACCATAAAAACAACCACCATTTCCATTCTAATCTGCTCTTTGTTGTTCGGAAAGAATGTTAAACGACCACGAATCAGAGGCCGACGGGTATCGAGCGTGTGGTTTGCTCACATTTGTCCCGTGTTGCTTCGTTACCATCTCTTGATAAAGCTTTGGGTCGTTTTGTAGGGGCACTACATATACTGGGCCCACAACAGGCCCTGGTGCTGCAGCCTGAATTGAACTTTGCAGTTCAGGCTGCAGTGCAATAGGGTTGCATTCCAAATAGGAGGACGGATAATGAACTCTATCGGCTATCTGGCTCTGAAGCTTTTTGATTTGAGCTTCTATGGCACTATTTTCCTCTTTTAGTTCATTCTTCTCAACAGCAACCTGTCCATCATCCATATTCCAAATGAGATATCTCAACGAAAGAAACATGGTCATTGTAACGATCTTTAATCAACGAAAGAAACATGGTCATTGTAACGATCTTTAAAGATTTTGTTTCGCATATTTGCAATATTTCTTTGTGTTTATCGTTAAATCCATGACCTTCTGACAGGTTTTCAAAACGCCTAGATACTTGTCACGAGGTCATGAATTTAAAGGAACACTTGTCGGGATGTCATTTAGCTAAACAACCTTTTGGGAATAGACGTCCCATAGGTGGGATCCCAAGATTTTTCGGGGTGTATAAGGCTGGATGTTTGAAGCTTACGTATCGAGATTCCTCTAAAAGAACAGCGTTCTCCTTCTTGAGAGAGTCAACTTGAGCTATCAGGTCCCGGAGTATCCGAATGGTGTCAGTCAACGCGGAAGACTTTCCACTGTTTTGAGTAGATGGTTCTGAAGCAAATGAAATACGGTTTAAGTACTTGTCTTACTTGTAAATGAACAATCATTCATACTATAATTGCACCAAAGTTCAGCTGGAGAAATATTGTGAGAATATGTGGAACCTCATTAGATTACTTTGCAAACAAAAGCCCTTAAAGACAGCCGGAGGGAGGCTCCAACATATATTGAGAATAATTGGTCCAAGGGGACTTTACCAAACGCTTACTTGGATAAGTGCTTACCGGCAAAATTCAACACTATCACTGACTTACCGTATAAGATTTTAGTCTACCAAAACAGTATCCTATGCAACAATTTATGTAAGCACTAACCATGTTAAGAATCGTTGCTCTCACTTAGTGGGTAAGACTCTCGATCCTTGCCTTCGCTCTTACCGGGTAAGATTCTTGGTCCTAGCCATATGCATCCAGTAAGGTAATGTGACTTGGTAAGCACTTACCAGGGTAAGCGTTTGGTAAATGGCCACCAAGTCTAACCGATGTGGGACTCCAAAAAATACGAAGAGAGAAAATTTAACTCAGATTGAAAGCCACACCTAAAGCTTTGGTGAGCTCTAAAAATAGCTCATTCATATGGTCACGTTTCAACTTCTCCCTCTCAGCTTTATGAATCTTCCTAGGAACCTTTGTGCCATCCTTCTTGCTGAAGGAAGATCTGTGGAGATGCAAGAATAAAAGAGTCAACACAAGAGGATCAAATCTTGGAAAAATGGGGTAAAATTGGTTCATCCATCTCACTGTTTTGTGTACTAACCGAACCAACCAATATACATGGGATCTTTGCATAAATGACCTTAAATGAGAATTCAATTAGGAGGATGACCATCTAAAAAGGTCAGCTCAATGACCTTCATCTAACCTACGCCTAGATGCACCCGTACAAACTTAGGGGTGTTTGGTTGATTTTCCATTAAGACCTGTATGGATAAAGATGTCTGTGTGGATTAATCTGTCCGTAAAGATTGAGAAAGGCTTTTTTGGAGGGTTTTTTCATACATGGAAGGAACATGTTTTCTAATTGGAAGGGGGTTTTAAAGAAAAACTTGGTTTTCTGCATAAAGCTCCCACCTACAAATTTACTGAATAAGCCACTTTTTATATCATTAAGCCACTACCAAACAGTCATGCATAGCTGACCGAACAAGCTACGAGTCCCATTAAACTCATTAAGCTGCTAACAAACAGACGCTTAGAAAAATACTCGAGGGTCCTTTAGCGGACGAGCTTTCGGAGAGGTCATTGAGCTTAATAGACCCAATATACATGTCATTATCATGTGAACGGGTTTTCAAATTCTTTTTTTTCTAACGAATTGCTACAAACAGTTAAGGAAATTTGTTCACAGATGAGCAACTGTCCTTGCAGATGAATGGAATGGGGATTCGATATATCAACCTCATTAAACATGCTTAAATGAATTATTCAACCATGGATTGAAGAAGTAAATATTCACAAATTACCTGCCAACGGATTTCTTCTTTGCCACATTGACATTTTCGTCCATAGATCAAGGATGGCTGAATGGATGAAGCTGAAGTGCTGAACCCTCCAAAAATTTCAATCTCAATGTTCACGTAATGCCCTGGTAGAAACAACTATACAAGCTCAATGATAGTTGAAAGTGACTGGAGCGAATAAAACAGATCATATACAGATATCTAGGGTTTTCGCATGATCCACGATTTTGAGCATCTAATAGCATAACTGTAGAACAATAAACAATTGAAATCTCAAAAATGTTTAGCATGCCAAATTTGAAATCAAAGCTTGCTCCGATTAATGTTTCCCCCAAAATGAGAACACAAAATCCACAAAACCCTAAACATTTGCCTTCTACTTAACTCTTTCGATTCAAAATCATAATTTCCAGTGAAATCAAACACTAGTAGGAGCTCAAATCAACAAAATTCAAACTACGAAACAGCAAATTCTCTCTTGAACTGACCTGAACTGTTACGATATCAGAAAAAATGTCGACCAATTATTTAAGACTAGTTTGTAGATAAGAAGAATTACGAACCTTGGAACAAATTGAAATACGTTCGACGACAAAGTCAAATAGGAAGACAGGAGGTCGTGTGTTTGTGCACGAAGGAGAGATTAGTTATGGAGGATGGCACGCGACGGCGTGTGGCGGGCATCCGCTCTTGATGAGCGGAGGGTCCGGCTATTCGACACGTCACGCGGTCAATGTGGTATTTAAGTCAAAGGCATTGATGGTATTATGTTAAATTTCAACATTTGATTTTTTTTTTAATTATGTTAAATTTTTTTAACTTGAAAAAGAAATAGAGAATGAATAAATATTTAAATTTAAAAAAATATATATTATTTTGGAAATATTTTTACTCCAACAGATTCTTTAGAATGAAGAAAACACGAGAGAATGTAAGAGCATTTCCAACATTTATGTTATAATTTTTTTAAAATAAAATATTAAAAATTAAAATCGATACTATATTATAAAGTAGAGATGGCCAAAAATCGGTCATGGGCTGGGCCGGTCCCAATCGGTCCTAACCTTTCTCATAACCGGCCATAACCGGTCCTGGCGTAACCAGTCCCGGTAGAAAATGATAGGACCGGTCAAGGTACTTCATAACCGGTTATTGGCCGCCGGTCCCGGTCCCAACATGTCCTTGCATTAAAAAATAAGATTTTTTTTATTTTTTTAATGATATATATTTTTAATACATTATAAAATTTACAATTGGGTCACTCAAATACACTTTAAAAATGCGTTTTAATATAATTAAAATTATGTTTTCTTAAAAAAATACATTATAAAATTATTTAAAAATACATTAAATTATTTGAATTTTCGGGCCGGGCCGGTCCATAGTCGGTCCCGGTCGGTCCCGATCCTACGAAACTACCAAAAACCTCAACCGGTCCCCGTTTTCGGTCCCATAACCGGTCTTTATCGGTCCCGGACCGGGCCGGTCCTTTGTCGGTCCCGGTCCTGGTCCTGGGCCGGGCCGATTTGGCTATCTCTATTATAAAACAATTGATAAAAACTCTTAAAAACCATTTTTTATGCATACAATACTGTATATTTATGCATATTACTTAAAATCAAGATTACAAGTAAATTATGTATAAGTACAATTTATTAAAGCTTCATGCTTGAATTAGTGTAACTAACTGTGGATAAACATAATCAAATAAATGATAAACATCTCATTTTAAAAATATAAAAAAATATAAAATATAATTAGGATAATTATTAAGTTCTAATAAAATAATTAATTATCATCTTAAATATTATATTATTAAACCAGATATAAATTACTTCATTATTATTGAACCTAAATTAAATTATAATAAAAAATTAAATTAAAAAATTACGGAATTTTATATAGTTAATTTGATACTATATCAATATATTTTTGTCAAACTTTTATAATATATTCAAATTTATATTTTGTTCAAAATTAAAAACATCTTTGTTTTTTTTTTAAATCACATAAGATCATATTATAACATCGACTGAAATAAATAATAAAATGAAATATTAAAATTAAGATGTATCTCGCTGCATTGCACGAGTACCTTCTAGTATCTAAAAATATATTTATTTATTTAAGCTTCGATGTTAAATGTTTATTTGAAATAAATAATATTTTATTATATGTATAAATTATTTAATAATATAATTAATCTTTCGATCTCCAAAATAAAGAATATGTTGAATATGAATGTAATTTTATTTTATTTTTTAGATTTTGAGTCTTGATTCTCTATTTTGGATAATTTAATAGAATATGTTGGAGATTATCTAATAGACTAAGAGCATCTACAGTCGTTAAGTCATCTATGTTTTTTAAAGGAAAATCGGCTTAAATAGTCATTTTATTCATTCAAATTGATCTCCTAATCATTCATTTTCCGGATTTACCCAAATGTTACTATGTCTGCAATATCCACATCTGCAATATTGTGGATGTGGGTATTGCGGACATAGTGTCATTTGGGTAAACTCATAAGATGAACGACTAGGTGACCAATTTGAATGGGTAAAATGGTTATCTGAGTCAATTTCATTTTCTTAAAATGTCACATTGTCATTTTCTTAAATTAACTGTAACGTTTTATAATTTATTCAGATGACATTTGATTTGATACAATGATGTAAGATCTTTGTATTTCATGAAAGGATTTGGAATTGTGGGAATTTTGAACATCGTCCAACTTTCTTATGAGCACATGAGTAATACTGTATGCAATGTTTGATAAATAATATCGTTAAAATAAATATAAAAAGTTAGGGAACTGTGATTTATTTATTTATAATCTTTTTCGATATACACTGATGTCATAGATTCGTCAAAACCATCATTCATGCGATACTGAGATTTCTACAACACGTGTAATTCGTAGAAACAACTGCTTATTTATTCTTGAGGGGATGTAGTAACTTTCGCACAGTTCCCTTATAGATCAGATCTTACGGAATGCTGCACCATCAAACGAAAGACAAGTGAATGAATGTTACATGATGCTGATGATGATAATAATAACAATAATTTGACTTGTCTGTTCGTACTAAATCATGCATACTCACGTGGAACAGTCAACATTGGGATTTATCGGGACATTGATGACAACTCCACACCTGCGAGGTAGATCAGAAGCGAAATCTTGTTTAATTTGCAACCGAATTGCAGCAGTTTTAGCACAACTACAAGCAGTTTGCCTGTCAAGCCTGGTCGGGGTCTCGACTTGAAGCCTTCTTAGTCCGTTACAACAATTTATTGGGGGGTCTCCACCCGTCTGTAGGTAGACTAAGCATGGTTCGAGCATAACATTAACATCAACACAAGTAATGGCTGCACTTGGCTGCACCATGAACTGGGTCATGGTTAACACTACCAACGCAGCTATTGCAACACCATTCATGTTTGATCTCATTGTATTTAGATTTTAAGTGTAGATGGTATCAAACAAAGCTGTCAAGGTAGATTTATACCGGGAGCAACTGAAGCGTATAGAATAAGAAGATAAGGGTTCAATCGGTGGTGTCAGTACTTCTAATTGTCTTTTAGTCATGAAAACACGACAGGTGTGAGATATATTCATTCATAAGTCATGTTTATCAGCTTTAAGACGTATATATCCAGTATGACACATGCATAACGTCTATTTTTAGTTACACGTTTAAAAAATAGCAAATTCACGCATACTTAAAGACGTCTTCCAACCCCTTTCTGTTTGAGTTGCTTTTTTGCATCATGATCGATATTTTGCAATAATTTACCACACAACGAAAAAGAGCAGCTGTATGATCTATATCATGTTTACTTGGCAGATAAAATATTCAACCCTAAACAAATTTACGAATCAAAAACAAAATTACGAAAAAAAGAACTAATGTTATCGCTCTATCGTTAGGTGTGAAAAAAATCCCATAACTTTGTGATGATAAGCAGTTATACGTAGGAGAATTCTGTTAATTTTTTTAATAAAACATGGATGCACGAGAAAACGTAGATTGGGACGTTGTAAAACCAAAACAATCATGAACGAACGTGCTTTTTAATTAAGATGGGCATGTTTGGAAAAACTTTGCTTTATGCATAAAGCCCCCAGAAGCTTATTAAACAAGCAATTTTTTATACCATTAAGTTATAACCAAATAGTCATGTATAGTTGACCGTATAAGTTGCGAGTTCTATTAAGCCCATTAGAGTGCTAACAAACAAAACCTCATTTCACTTCTGAATGATATGAGATCATGCCGAAGTTTAAAAATAGCAGAGGCAAGTATGGTACGATAATCATGTTTTTTTTCCCTTTCATATATCATGTACCAACCAATTATAATTAGTATGTAAAATGTTATACACGTATCAAGCAACCATAATTGGTACCAACTTTTTTCGGTAACATCGTAAAAATTAAAGTTACAAATTTATTTAAGTGACGTTTACCAATTAGATCTAGATTGCAATAAAACCATCAACAATTGAAATAACATGTATCAATAATTTTAAATAGTGTGCTATTGTCGTCGTACACGACCACTAATACCATGTATCAATAATTTTAAATAGTTGGTACGGTACTATCAACCAATTAAATTGGTACCAACTAAATTAGTTGCAAGAATCTGGGTTGTCTTGTATGAAATTGACACCCTAAACTAGGGGGGCTCATGGTTGCGTTGATCGGGTTGAAAACATTTGAACAACCAAACCCAATGTCTGTAGTTTGAAAAATCTCAATCCAACCTAACCCAACATAAACCGTACGAGTTGGTCAGGTTGATGTTTTAGTACAATGAAATATTCTCTTAACTTATATATGTTGTTTTCTTTACTCATAATTCATTTTTCATAATCAATCATTTGATACATATTATCCATACTTCTTATATAAGTATATATTATATTCAACTATTTTTCTCAATTGACATATATATGTTCACATTTATATAAAAATGAGTTATATAGAGATCAAGAAGAGATTCAATATATATATATATGTATATAAAGAGGTACTACGTCGTAATATATATATAATTATTAAGAGTTTAGTTTTAACTTCTTAACAATTTTCTATCGTTATTTAAGTATGGTACAATTTGGGTAAGTTAACGAAAATGTTAATATGAATTTTACAAGTTTTGAACATCCGTACCCTAAACATATGAATATGTTTACAAAATACCGTCGTATAGCACATGTTCGAGAAGTGTAGATATTTTTGAAGGAATATCGATAAGAGTATCGTTGATGGGACAATAACTCTCGACGCCATAGCCAAAACCAGGGAAAAGAGGGAGGAGTTTTTCGCAAGTTTCGTCTATTCATAATTTCGAGATTTAGGGGTTCTATAGGAGCAAAATGGTAGTGGTAATGGCTTGGAATGGTTATATGCTTCCTCCTCAGACGGAAGGTATAGTTACAGCTCCTACACGGCGGTTTGTCGGTCGCCGGAAACTCTGTTTCGACGGAATTTCCTCCGTCTGTTCTTCGTCCGACACGCATCATGACGATGGCTCCATTTCGCCTCGTCCTCGCCTTTTCACCAAAACGTAATGTATCGATATTCATACTCTTTAATTACTTATAGCTGCTATTTCAACAAAACATGTGTTGGTATTCATTGATTGCTTGTTTTTGGGGGATTGTTGTGGTTTATGTAACTGGGGTTTTGTTACTGAGAAGTGATATAATGGAAGGGGTGGATAAGGGTAGTAATTGTAAGATACAGGTGATAACAAATTGATTCTTCTCCCACAATTCTACAGCTTTATTCAAGAACAAAGAGGCCTTAAATAGCCTTTACACTCGATGGAAAAACGAAAAATACTGAAAAATCATAACAGCCCCTAATTCTCGTTCAACACGATGACTAAGACTGAGTAAACAGGGTAACACTACTGATACTTGGCTTGGGCCTTATTTCAAACAAACTAAAAACAGAAATGGGCTAACCCAACATAGTAAACAGCCCAATAAATTCCTTCCCTTAAACAAGCAAGCATTAAGCTGCTTGTTTAACATCTTGCACCCCAATTTCCTTCCTGATAAACTCAAAGACTGTCAACTTCAATGGCTTGGTCATGAGATCTGCTAACTGCTCCTCTGAACTACAAAACTTCAATTGAATAACATCTTTGTTCACCAACTCTCTAATGTAATGAAACCGTACATCAATATGCTTTGTTCTTCGATGCATTACCGGGTTCTTTGACAACTTTATGGCTGAACTGTTGTCACACATAACCTCCACTGTTCCAGCTTTTTCTTCAAGCAAACCTTTCAGCCATACACAATGGCACGCACACGTTGTGGCCGCAACGTATTCTGCTTCGGTTGTTGACAACGTGACTACTTCTTGCTTACGTGAACTCCAACATACTGCAGCACCATTAAACAAACAAACGTACCCAGAGGTGCTTTTCCGATCCTCTAGATCACGTGCATAATTGCTGTCGGTAAACACCCTCAGCTTCTGACTTTTATCCTTCCCGTAATACAACCCATAATTTATAGTTCCTTTTATATATCTTAGTACTCGCTTTGCCACAACCATGTGTTCTTCTTTAGGTTTAGCCATAAATCTCGATAACAAGCTGACCACATACATTAAATCTGGACGTGTCACTGTTAAATACATGAGACTTCCTATGAGACTCATATACTTGGTGTTGTTTACGTCCTTTCCTGCTGTGAGCTTCATAAGCTTGGTACCCGGAACAATTGGATTCTTCACATCGTTTACTTCCCACATTTTGAACCGTTTTAAGACTTCCCTTGCATATGGCGATTGGCACAATGAGATTCCTTCTGACTTACTTCCACACCAAGGAAGAATTTCATCTTCCCTAAGTCGGTCATTTCGAATTCACGTTGCATAGACCTTTTAAATGACTCACACATCACAAGATCATTTCCAGTATAGATCAAATCATCAACGTATAGGCTAACAATGATGACTTTATTCCATACCTTCTTTATAAATAGTGTGTGATCATGACAACTCTTCTTGACCCCTTCACGTATGAAATAACCTTCAATTCGATTAAACCAAGCTCGGGGAGCTTGTTTTAATCCATACAACGCACGTTTTAACCTGTATATTTTAGCTTCCTCTCCTTTCTTTATGAACCCCTTCAGTTGAGTGACATGCACCACTTCCTTGAGCTCACCATTCAAGAATGCGCTTTTGACATCTAATTGATACACCGTCCAATTTCTTTGCGCAACCACTGCTATTAAGGTTCTGATCGTGTCCCACCGTGCTACTGGAGCGAACACCTCATAATAATCTACKCCTTCCCGTTGGGCATAACCTTTGACTACTAACCTCGCCTTGTACTTGTCAACCTTCCCAAGTTCGTTTAGTTTTGTCTTGTACAACCATTTTGCTCCTATAGGCTTCGTTCCAGCTGGAGGATCAACCAATTCCCAAGTATGGTTCCTTTCTATAGCAGTCATCTCGGCATTCATTGCTTGTACCCATTTTTCATCTTCATTAAATGGGTCTTCATTAAATGGGTCTTGATTAAATGGGTCTTGATTAAATGGGTCTTGATCTGTATAATAGTCATCCATCCACACAGGTGGTTTTCGTGTGCGAGTGGAAGACTCAGGTTGAGTAGTCGGTACACTTTGATCCTGTGAATTTCTTGTGGTAGCCGAGACTGGACTGTTAGAAGCATTATGAGTATTTTGAATTTGTGATGTACCTCGACCTGGTGAACATGCTTCATCTTCAGAATTCTGTGTATTGTTGGGAGTGTTTGGTGAATCTTCTACATCTTCATTTTCATGTTGACTCCCTTGAACCTTTTCATCATCTTCTATGATGAACTCTTCTGCTTTATGATTTTCTTTAGACCAATCCCAAGTTGCATCCTCATCGAATATTACGTCTCKGCTGATTACAATTTTCTTACTTGATGGGTCATACAAACGATAGGCTTTTGATTCTTGGCTAACACCAAGAAATACACACTTGTGACTCCTTGCATCCAGTTTGGTTCGTATTTGAGCAGGTATATGGACATGCCCTATGCATCCAAATACCTTAAAATGATCAACATTTGGTTTCGACCTTGTCCAAAACTCTTCTGGTACCTTTTCATCAAGACTCCTGCTCATACACCTGTTTAACACATGGCATGCCCACTTTGCTGCTTCTGCCCAAAAGTATTTAGGCATTGATTTTTCAGCTAATAAACACCGAACCATGTTCATTAAGGTCAGGTTTCGTCGCTCTGCAACCCCATTTTGTTGTGGGGTGTAGACGGCTGTAAGCAGCCTTTTAATACCTTGAGCTTCACAAAACTTATTAAAGGAATTCGAGGTGAACTCACCTCCTCTATCGCTTCTCAAACACTTGATATTCATGCCAGTTTCTTTTTCCACAGAATTTTTGAAGTTTTTAAATGTTTCAAAACTTTCATTTTTCTGTGATAAGAAATAAACCCAAGACTTTCGTGTGTAATCATCGATAAACACAAGTATGTACCTTTTTCCACTGGTTGAGACAGGAGCGATGGGTCCACACAAGTCTGTGTGTATTAATTGCAGCTTCTCTGTTGCACGCCAATTGCTCTTCTTAGGTATTGCCTCTCTCTTTTGTTTTCCGATGGCACAAGTCTCACACACAACGTGTTTTTCTGCAACTGCGGGTAGACCTTTTACCATGCTTTTGTATAACATGGTTCTAATGGCTTTGTGATTGACGYGTCCAAACCTCTTATGCCATAGTTGGGTCTTAGAATCRTCACTGACTTGTAGACACTTCAATTTTTGAGACTGCAATGAGGCATTAACAGGAAACATCCTGTTCTTTGTCATGTTGGATGTAATGATCAAACCCTTTTGGGGGTGAAAAACCTTACAAACACCACCTTGAATAACAAAGGTCAAGGACTTTTCTTGAAGCTGCCCAATACTAATGAGATTTGATGTTAGTAAAGGTACATAATAAACATCCGTAATGATATGTGTTATACCGTTCATAGTCAATCGAACATCACCCTTTCCTTTGACTTCCAATATGTGGTCATTTCCCAATATGACCTTGTGTTGATACGTCTCATCTATGCGAATAAACCATTCCTTAATACTCGTCATGTGGTTTGAACAAGCTGAGTCTAGAAACCAGAATCCCTCCTTACCGTGCTTGTCTTCACTCACTGCTGCCGTTAGTATTTTGGTTTCCTTTTCGTATCCTTCAACATCAACTGAAGCCATCAACAAAAGTTCTTCATTGTCTTCAAATTCTGCATAGTTTACCAGACGGGCATCATTTGAACATTCATATTGGAAATGCCCTAACTGATGACATTTATAGCATTCAATCTGAGACTTGTCAAATCTAGGCCTATTCTTATTTTGTGATCTTCCTCGGCCACGCCCTCTTCCTCTATTGGAGTTCCCTCTTCCCCGGCCTCTTCCACGTCCAGTATTTTGATCATTTTCAACCTTTAGAACTTGTTCATCATTTACTTTTCTTCTGATCTTTTGTTCATGAATCAGTAAAGAACTTTGAAGTTCATCTACTGTCATGGTATCAAGATCCCTTGATTCTTCTATGGTACAAACCACAAAGTTGAAACTTTTTGTCATGGTTCTTAGCACTTTCTCTACAATCTTTACATCACTCATATCTTCACCAGCATTCCGCATATCATTTGCAATAACCATGACTCGTCCAAGGTAATCAGTAACTGTTTCTCCAACTTTCATCTCCAACGTCTCGAAATCCCTTCGCAGCCGCTGCAATTGAGCTCTTGTTACTCTATCATTGCCCTGATATTTGATCTTCATAGCATCCCATATCTGTTTAGACGTCTGCTTCTGTATGATTGTCTTCAAAATCGATTTGTCTATCGATTGAAACAGATAATTACAAGCTTTTAAGTCCTTAAGCTTGTTCTCCTCGTAGTGTTTTTGTTGCGTCCCTGTTGCCTGATCCCCCGGCTTGATTACTTGGTACCCTTCATCTACCACTCGCCAGTATTCTCTTGATCGGAGAAGGGTCTCCATTACCATACTCCAATGATCGTAGTCTCCGTCGAATTTGGGTACACTGGGGCCATGAAACTGTCCTGTTTCCTCCCCCATAACAGCGATTGCTTGAATACTCTCGGGAACTCTCGTGAAAGGAATTACGCTCTGATACCACTTGTAAGATACAGGTGATAACAAATTGATTCTTCTCCC